GCATAATCTACCTGCCGGACATGCCTTTTCAAGACTGCAAATATGGCAGGCAAAGCGCGCCCGCCAAAGAGCAGCCAAACAGCAGCGTGCTAGCAAGGAGTGTTCTGGCGAGTCGATGGCTTTCAGATTCATAACGTCCAGCGACACCTCAATGATCTGGGCAACGATGGGGAACAAACAGGAAGGGCGATCTATCCTCAACATGCGGCCATAATCAGAGTGTGATCTCAAGCAAACCGTCCTCCCCAATCAAACGAAAACAATTTGTATTGGCAGGGTGTCCGCAGGCCGTCTCTTCCGCGCCAAAATTCGTTCCGAGTAACGAGTACGGATTTCAAAGAGCAGAAATTGCTGATTTGGAGGTGTTTCCGGTGAACCACACACGGAAGCATTCTTGTGTGGGTGCCTCCATTCATGGGGAGCGTGCGCAGGCAGGGCTTGTTGGACGTGCTCAATGCCTACACGATCCTACCCTCCCCGACCTCGCTGGGCTCTTTTCCCCCAGGGAGGGGGGCAGTCACGGGCGCGCTCCTGTCTGTCTTTGTATGTGTGGGTGCCAGCTATTCCCAAGACGCTAAAATGTTGGTTTACGATACGATTGGCCTCATTGTAGTTTGGTATTGGGGGCTTTGGGGTGAAGCCATTTCTTGTGAGGAAACGGAGAAGCGGTGCAGGATGTGAACTGTGAGAACCATGTGCAACGGCTCGTCTTTGTTCGGAGTTGGCACACCTTTTGTGGTTTGTTTTCACGGAAAGCCAAAAAGAAACCATTTGTTTTCTGTTAAGGGGGGGTCCGCTAAAAAACGCCCACATCTTGCAATTCTTAAAGGCAATCTTATACTCAATTGAATTCTTCTTGCTGGCGTGGTCAGCATGCAAGAACACAATTTCTTGCTGGCATGGTCAGCATGCAAGAATGGAAGTCGCTTGTGCACAAACACTAGACTATACAAATCCGGCAACAAAAAGATTGCGTCGCCCGAGGACAACTCAACAGTTCTTGAAGCCTTGCGGAAACTTCAAAACATTGGTGCTGCCAAACATTACAAGCTCCAAATACAACTTGGCGATCAATCATTGAAGGCTTCTTGCTAGCGTGTAGCAAACCATTTTCACTCAACGCCCCCCTTTCATGTGGAATGTGGAGGCAAAACTTTCGCAATCCTGAGCAGAACAATGACAATTATCAGATTCACCCACATCAACCATCTTCAACGTCCAAATTACAAAGAAGCAAGCCTTCAGAAGAAACATATGCCAGAACAGTGAGCAATTGCGGATTTCACTAACAACCTCCGTGCAATCTCAGCAATCTGGCGCCCTCGCGCGCTGACAGGTCTCAAGTCGCGAGCCAAGAAAACAAATGCAATGCAAATTTTCAATTTTGTTGAGATGCTGCGACTGTGCCCAAGCCAAGTCTGCTTTGCTTCTGAAAAACGGAAGCAACCTAAGCAGCCGGTGCTTCATTTTCCCTGAGCAATGCAACTGTACAAATGCTACACTGTTCATAGCCAAAACACCTGACAAGGTTGGGAACACTTCTACACGCCCTCCTGGACACTTGCGTCTTAGCCCAACTCTTGGATGCGTTGTCCAGCTGGGTGCTAGCCGCTTTGCACCCAGGGCCAGATACCCAGACGTGTGGCAACGCCCCGCCGCTTGTGGACATGCGGGCCCGCATCATCACTCCCTCCTGATCCAGACCCTCGAAAACATCTCCAGGAGTTGCTGCGCCGCCTGGACAACTCCCGCGGCTATGACGTCAAATCAAACGCCGCTCAGACATCCTTTCCGCCTCCCAGCCTCCAAATAAAACGAGAAAAGCTCGGCCATCTTAAAGTCGTAGACCTCCTTCGCGCTCCAGGATCCAACTCTCATAGCCTCTAGCAGGCCCAACTCATAGCTGACAGACTGGGAGTGCTCGTGTGGGCACTCCATCCCCGACTGGGAGACTCCTCCGCCGGCAGAGGATCAGGTGCTGGCTGGGTTTGCCACGTCTCTACCTCAACGACTCTCTTCTTGTTCCCTTTCTGCTCCTCATCCTTGACTGCGCGCTTGCTGGATGAAGCCCTGCTTCCGCGAGAGACCCTGTTGGGCCGATATGCATCCATCACATCCATCGCTGTATCTGTAAATGGCAAGCCCACCATCCCTGCGTAGCGAAATGCCACGAGGAACATAGCCTTTCTCTTCTTCACCTCCACAATCACATCCTTCTTCAGCTGCTCTTCACCATCTTGAACTTCCACCACCAAATCCTTCTTGATCCGAGGGGAACCCGCAAAACTACTGAATTGAATTCCTCCAAGTTCCACTTCTCACCGTGCCCTGACAACGCCTTCCAAGGTGCCAATCCAGCTCATCTGCAAGTTCTCCTGGACGCCCAAGTAGACTCCATCACGGAACTTGGCATCGAACCTCTTCTTCCTGGCGCCGGACTCTTTCAAAGGCCCGTGCTCCTCTCAAATCCCGGCGACTCCTTTCTGAAACCTTGACCACAAACTCGCAGCGTAGCCAATGAGCCAAGCACCGAGGGGTGAAACCACGCCCGTAGTTCGCCTCCAGAGCACTCCTCAAAGTCCGCGCCTGACCATTGAATCTTTTTACCATGACTCTGCTTGAGCGTTGCGAATGCTTGCCTCCGTGTCGGACTTCAGCGCAGCCCGCGGGAATCGAAGGATCTTGTAGTAATTCTCCACGGTCGACGCGTTGGATTGATGCCCAACCTCCTTGCAAGGTATACACATTGCGGGCACTGATTGTGGGAATCTCCGTGCCTGCACCACGATCGGAACGGCATGTGGCTCCGTTGCGCTCTCTCCTCGGTCATGAGGTTTGGGAAGGGCTGCTTTGATCATCCTTGGTGCGCATCACCTCCAGCTGAGACCTCCTCTTCTTCCAACTCCTCAAGAACCATGCCTTCTTCTCCATCTGCCAGAAACCGTTCTGGCTGGTACGTCCGCCCCCGCTTTGGGGCTTACAGCTAGAAAACCCCAACAGCTGCGTGACGATCAACTCATGCCTGCACACCCCGTCCTGCTGCCTCAGATTGATCGTGGCCAGGTCCTCAATGTGTGATGCCCCTTCTCCATGTCCGAGAACAACCTGGTAGCCACGGCTTCAGCTTCTGACGTCAAGACCTTGTTCACATCCGCCACGCGAAGCCGCACAGATCTCAGGTATGACCTTCTTTTGCGCACCACCTGGCCCATCCTCCTCCGCCTCCATCACAGGATAATCCGGGACACAATGCTCCTGAATCACCGGGCTCCCGAGCTGAGCACTGAATAGCTCCCTTGCGGCAAACGCTTGCTCTCCCAACTCACCACCAAATTCAAGGACCCGGCTGGCGCTTTGGAACACACTCCCAAACCCATCGAAGAGAACGGACGTTGAGTCCGCCCACATTTCTCACATACAAAGCATCAATCTTTCCACTGCTTGTACATGCTGCAGGCGACGCGATACAGGGCGGTGGAAGCTGGTTGAGAGAGGGCCCATGGCCTCCCTTTACCTTTGCCACCTTCGTAGTCGCCCTTGCCGCACGCACATAGCACCCCTTGCCTCCTTTCCTGCTGCCCTTGCCCAGAGATCCAACATCCATGCGAATAGCTGAAGTAGCGGATGCGCCGAGCTGCATTCAATTGCGCATGATCCTTCAGCTTCGCCGGGCACATAGCCACAATAGTAGCCATCTTCAATGATTCAGACACCGAATCTGCTCCGGCTTGCTTTCATGCTTCACAATGCGATTTTTCCAAAAAATGATCTCCGAGGACAGCTGGTCGCTGAACCTCACCCGCAGCAACCGTTGACGGCGCGCCTGTCTCACAAGGCTTCATGCCTCTGCCGCAGTAGCGACCAGATTCGAATCTGTGTGCTCCAGAATGGTGCGGTCCAGATGCGGGAAGCTCGTCAAAATACTGGTCTGACTCAGGCTCGTCTTGGGTTCCTGCGTCCAACGCACTTTCTTGCCCACCACGTGTTGGTCCAGATCCATCCGGCACAGATGCGGTTGCCGCCGTCAGGTTGCAAGCACTCTGCACAAACTGCCGCAACTGCGATTGCAATTGCTGTAATGCACCTGCGATCTGCGTCACCTGCTCTTGCCTGTGTTGCTGTTGCTGCTGAAACGACCCCTGCGCCTGGCCCACAACACTCCCGATAACGCCTTCCGTCACCGTCTGTGTACACAAGACTCCGCGGCCAAGTTCTTCTTGTGTTCTCTGTTGCGTCCGCTGCTCTTGCACTAATTGGTTCAAGATATTGCCGAGACCACGGCCGCTGTTCCTCCAAGCCGCCTTCCACCGCATAGCTGTCACGACCTGGGCGATCAGGACGCCGTCCAATGACGCCCGCCCGATGAGGCGTCTCAGTCCTGACCAGGAACCGGCGCTCCGCTACCATGGAAAAAGGTAGCAAGACCTAAGCAGCGCAGGGGCTTCCTTTTCCGAGCCATGCAAATGTAGTTACAGATGCTACACTTGTTCATAGCCCAAAGACCTGAGAAGGTTGGCCACACTTGTACCGGTTCCTGTTTTCGTCGCCGTTTGCTTCACTACCGTCTGTCTCCGCGTCACTTCCTCAAAAAATCGGATGGCTTCCACGGCATGCACGCCCTATGGTCCCTCAACGCCTGCCTAGAGACATGGACGAGAAAATGTAGGCGAGGTCCCAGTCCAGGCTCGAATCTCTGGACTTGCTTTGGCGCCGGCCACGAGAAGCGCTCCTCCTCGTCCTCTTTTCAATTCGCACATGACTTGCCTCAGCCTATCAAACCCTAAAGCCTTCAATCATGCATATCCAACGACATCCAAAGGCGAGCTTGCGACTGAAGCCATGTTTGACATCCTATCTGCCTGTGCGCCAAGCCTGGGCAAAAGAGCTGCCTTGAAGCTGCCATCTGGCCGTCCCCCTTTCACGGCACAGCAGGCCACCCAGCATGGGCAAGAGCTTGCCAGCGGCGTGCCAAATCTTCAGCCGGCTCACGATCTTGGAGGTGAACTCGCTCACCCAGCCTGGGATGTGTTTTTGGTTGTTGGCCCCACATCCACACTCATGTCCAACGCGCAACCACGCACACATCGCTTGCAGAGTTCTGAAGATTCGTAGCCAAATTTAGTTGGGCCACCCAAACTGAACCTCAAGAGCTGCCAATTCGCATGCTCAGCAGCCCAGGAAATAGCAGCTGCCTGATCAGTGCTCACCTGGGAAAGTTGAAAAGCTCGGGACCCCAAGAGCTCAGTGCCTTAAGACTCACGATCAGGCTTGACGGCCTTGAGCTGAGTCAGCGGCAGCGCCGGGACATCCTCAAGCGAAACGTCCCACTCCGCCTCTCAAACTCTCAATTGTGCCAAAGTCGGCTCATAAACAAGTTGCCTCCAAAATTTAGGATTTGCTTTCCAACCCTTGGTAGCAAACCTCGTTCTGACTACACATGAACAGAACCAACAATCAAAAACGACTAAAACACAGGCCAAGAACTGTGAAGCTTGGCTCATGCCCTGACAGTTTTTGGGACCCCGGAGTCGACCAGTCGAGGCTCCCAGGAAGAAGACCGCGCGGCGAGCGGGGAAGGGGCGTGCTTCTGGGAGGAGATTGGAGATGAAATGCCCAGCGATGGGCAAGGAAGAATGCCTTTCCTCGGAGCACTTCTCAAGCAGCTCAAACTGAAAAGTTTCGAAAGATGCGATCGATGCGGGAAGGGTCTTTTTTCAAGGCTCGGTGCCCTTTTTGGAGTTGATTTACTCAGCTGCCCAACTGAGGGACACAGAAATGAAAGGTGATCACCTTTTGACTAAAAGTGGGAACGGACAAAAGGGAAAGCGAACGGTCAAAAGCTTGATTCGCTTCGGGCAAGTGAGAACTCAAGCACGTCAAACCCAGCATCGCAGGCAGTCATGACAGTTCCTCGCAGCTCAAGCAAGTTTCTAACAGCGCTGAGGTGAACGAGCATTGCAGGCAGTCGCCATTTGCATCAAAGCGTCATCCAACAGCACCGCAGCCGAATCCTCCGCACGCCAAAGAAGCTGCGTCGAGTTCAAGAAATGCATCCCCGACTTAGTCCGAGCATCTTTCTTTCTGGTCCAAGCTGTCTCGCCCACAACACGATGGAACTCGCCGAAAGGAACAGAACGACACAAGCGAGTTCCATGGCGGACAGGGCCTGGCCGTGGCCCAAGCCCTGCAAGAAGGACAGCACTGCTTCTTGTAAGCCTCTGGGTCCTGGCATTCCCCGTGCCTCAAGCTTTCGGAGCAATTGATCTTTTTTTGCCAAGCACATTTGGCCCTGTCCTGTGCTTTGCTGGTGGAAGTCAACTCCTGGCAACTGTTCATGGTCCTGGCAAGCATTGGGCAACCAATCTTTACGCTATTTCCTTCACATGAGCGACTCTGAATGACAAAGTGGCTGACTTGCTGGCCGCCTGGCCGGCTGTTTGACTGGCAGCTGCTGACATGTTGCAAAGGCGGTCCGCGACACGTCGCAAACGTCGTAGGACTCGAAATTCTGTATGATCCTCATGATGGGTCGTTTGGTGAAAGCCGAGTTTCATCACGAGAAGTTTATTATCTGAGTGCAGCCATGCTTCCTCTGGGCCCAGGAACTCTGGATCCAAGACCCACCAAGTCAAATCCCTTTTGCGTCGACCGCCATCAAAGACCAGGGCAGCTGCAGTTCTGGGTGCCTTGAGAAGCGAGCGGCAAGCCGAGGTATCGCCGAGTTCCAGCCATCGATCGAGAAGGCACCGTTTGCCAAAGACGTAGCTTTGTAAGACCGACTCATGTGTCGTCCCAGGCCACGAAGCTTAACCAGGAATGTCAAGATTGGCAACTCCACAAGTGGCGCTTTGTACGCCGCTTTGCCAAACCAATCCAGCCCGGACAGGAGTCACTCAATTGTTTTGATCATCTTGACACATCTTTACCCAGGACACGGCCAAACTTTGGGAAAGGAGTTGCAATATCAACACGACATGCAGGTGCATCTGCACTGCGTCGGTTGGTCACAGCCAAAAAACGCAGAAGGGGGGTTGTAACCACGACAAAAACGCGATGTTGTTACCATGACAAGCTGCAATGTTACCACGGCAGGAAAAAAACGTTACAGCGATATGTGTCTTGCAGGCTTATCCCGACAAGCAAGGAAATAGAAATGAATAACAAGGTCAATAGAAAATAAGAATGCCAATAGCAAGGAATAAGAAGGTCAATAGGAAGGAATAAGAAGGTCAGTAGAAAGAAATAAGAAGGTCAATAGAAAGAAATAAGAAGGTCAATAGAAAGGAATACGAAGGAATAAGAAGGACAATTGAAAGGAATAAGAAGGAATAAGATGGTCAATAGAAAGGAATAAGAAGGAATGAGAAGGTCAATAGAAAGGAATAAGAAGGAATGAAAAGATCAATTGATTTTCTATTGATTTTCTCATTCCTTTCTATTGACTTTCTTATTCCTTTCTATTGACCTTCTCATTCCTTCTCATTCCTTCAGTGACCTTCTTATTCCTTACTATTGACCTTCTCATTCCTTTCTATTGACCGTAGCTGTTGTGATAGTAGTAGTTATTAGTAGGATGTAGTAGGAGTAGTAGTAGTAGTAGTAGTAGAAGTAGTAGTAGTAGTAGTAGTAGTAGTAGTAGTCGTAGTAGTAGCCGTAGTAGTAGTAGTTGTTGTTGTTGTGATAGTCGTAGTAGTAGTAGCAGTAGAAGTAGTAACAGTAGTAGAAGTAGTAGTAGTATTAGTAGTAGTAGTGGTGGTAGTAGTAGTAGAAGTAGTAGTAGTAGTATTAGTAGTAGTAGTGGTAGTAGGAGTAGTAGTGGTAATAGTATTAGCAGCAGTAGTAGTAGTAGAAGTAGTAGTAGTAGTATTCCTTTCTATTGACCTTCTCATTCCTTCTTATTCCTTTCTATTGACATTCTTACCTTGTCGGGATAGTCTTCACTGAAACTTGTCGGTGTAACGATGTTCTTTGTCGTTGTAACATGTTCTTTGTCGTGGTTACAACCCTCTCTAGCCAAAAAACATCCTTTCAGGAAAGTTACTTGTTCGCTTGCTAGTTGTCATTTGCCCTTGCTGTGCCTTTTACGCTGCGCTGCCATTGCCATCTTGGATCTTTCTTCTTGAATGGTTGGCCTGCTCCTCCGCCCACGTGTCAGCCTTTGCAACCAAACAGTTTCCACAAAATAGGCCTCTCCAAGCTGCAACCGTGGAAGTCCGTTGAAGAGCTGCCAGCAGCGAGCGCGCCAGTGAATCTCGGCGATTTCCAAACAAGGAAGCGGCCGCTTTTAGCGTCTTCCTCAACTTGACTCAAAGAACAGGCAACATTGCAACTTGCAACCAAGCCTAGCAGGATCTATTTGTCTTTTCCGCCTTATTTATTCTTTCTTTGCTTTCTTCTCTTGTCTTTCTTTCCTTTGATTTCTTCATCTCTCTCTCGCTCGCTCTCTCTCTCTCTCTCTCTCTGTCTCTCTCTCTCTCTCTCTCTCCTTTCTCCGGCAATGGCGGTCCTGCCCGCTGATGTGTGTGTCTGTCAAGCTGCACCTTGCCTTGCCTTCGTTTGTCAAGGCGCGGCCAGGCATGGCGCGAGCTGCTGCCAGTTGCCAGCAAGCAAAAAATCACCTCCTCTGTTCGCGTGCCAAACGACTTTGCTTACATGTCAAAATATGGCAAGGACTGGCACTGCCAACTCTTTGTGAATCTCATTGCGTCCATCCGTCATTTCAACATTGGTGGCGCCAAGAAGTAAAACAGCTGATGCATGGCGAGCTGTTTTACACATTGCGCGCATGCAAGGCTCTGCCCTGAGAGCAGGTTCCGGAGCTTTGCGCGAACTGCGAGGTACTCGCCCACGGCCCCGAACCGCACAGGGCGCAGCTAGCCGAGGCGAACGTCGGGAGAATCGCAGCCGACTACGTAGCTGCAGCGCATGACAAGCAGCGCCGATCGGCTGCACTCCATGCACGAAGGCCATGGCAACTCCGAGCCCCTGAGTGTTTTGGCCTAGTCAGTCGAATTTGGATGCGAGCCGTTGAGATATTCTGCCGCCTGTGAGGGTCAGGGTGCAATTAGTGAGTTCCTTTTTCTTGGCTATGTGTGTGTGTGGGGATTGGGGGGGATTTGGAGACTACTCAACCCGCCGGACTGGACATCTTGCGCAAACCTTATTCTGTCCTGCCGTGTTGCTGGCAAACATTTGAGCCGTCTATGTTGCCCATGAAGCCGTGCAACGCACGCACAGATCTGATGAAAACAAGCTTCTGACAGCCGACGTTTTGTGGTAGCACAATTTGTTGGATGTGTTCCATTACGGACTCTGGCTTCTCAACCACCATGGATCCAAAAGCGTGTAGCTGAGCAGCGGGCAAACCATTTCGCCCTGGGTCGCAGCGGCGGGTCAGCTCTTCCTGCTCCCAGGTTGCCTTGGCTGGGAAACACGCCATTGGGTGCTTCTGAAAATAGGGGCACCCGCAGGTGGCTTCGGTTTTCCTCGTGTTCTTCCTCGAAAACCAACCAACAAAGTGTTTTCTCAAAACAAACAACAACAAGAGGCGTGCGCCCATGTTCGCCATGCTGCCAAATCCAGGCCGGCAGCTGACATCAGGCGCCGCAGCCTGGGGTAAACTCCATGCACCTTGTACAAGAACCAGGGACCCCTTCAAACTCCAAACCCAAAGGCAGGCCGGCCAGGAACTCGCAGCTCGCTTCAGTTGAGGATCTGGCCCGCTTCGGTCCAAAAATCCTGTGCGAGCCACATCCATCCTAGGTACTCAAAATCAGAACCCACGAACTGGGCGGTTTCCTTTTGGCTTCCGTTTTCAAGACCTATGGATGGACGAAATTCTGCACCACCTAAGAATCCCTGGAATGATGGTTCCCCTGTAAATACCAACAAAATTATTTCCCATGGTTTCAAACTGGTGCAGGATTTTGTCCATCCACACTATCCCCCAAAAAAATGAGGGAGGGGGGGTGCAAACAAAGGAGAAAGCACACAGCCGTCGTGCTAAGTGCCCCGCATTTGACAGGCTTGTAGCAAGGTGACCTGGGCACCGAGTCCTTTTTTGGGCGCCAGCGGTTTTTTGTGGGTTTCAAAGGCAAACCCATGTTGGGGGGCTCCTATGAAAAAAGATGGAGCCAAATCATTCCATGAACGACCCATTCGGTGTTCCTTTTGGTATCCCTTGCCAACCCAAACAAGGGTCTCCACAAGACAAACCAGACCGACATCTACCTTTCAATCTGCAGTTGCGCAAGTGTTCAAATACATGGTGGCTTGGGCATTTTGCGAACCGAGCTAGCGCTGCGCATTTTGCACTCGACAAATCAAAGCTCCGTCTCTCTCTCTCTCTCTATTGTCTCACTGGCTGTGATTGCTCATGTCGTGTGGCCTCTTCCGGCCGGGCAGCAAGTTGAATAGCCGAGCAAATGCTGTGGCGATATACTTGTGGTCAGTGGAAGTGTCGAGCAAAGACAGTTGACGATCAATTTCGTCTGTCGATGGCTCTCGAAGAGAGTTGGTCTGGGAGCTGCCAAACTTCCGATCGTTCTCAAGGATTGCTCGCAATGTCTGTAAGCCTGTCTTGGTTGAAAACTCTGGATGAGCTTGCGTGGTGAGGCAATTTCCAAGTGTCATCCCCCAGTGCCCACCACTGCAGTATCCCCATGTCTTTGCATTTTTGGGAAGTACGACCACAGCATCCGCGTGGTGGCTAAAGATCCTGATGTTGGCCGCTGGAAGCTTCAGCAAGGACTTGCCATCCTCAGAGACGGGGTAGTTCTGCAAGCCCGCCTGACTTGGTGACTTGGAAAAACAAACCACATCTTAGTTGTTGACCCCTCTGCCAAAAGTTTAGCTCGTGGGTTTAATGGAAAACCCTTGATTTACCAAAAAGTTAACGTCTAAAGAGCCGAGCCGTATGTGTGCGGACTCTCGCCAGCCTAGCTCGAAAAAACAAACAGCTCTGGCAGGCACTTTCCGGCAACAGGACGCAGCTGCAGTGTTTATGGCTGCCTCGAGCTCATGGCGTTCAAAGCGTTACGACTCATCACTTCATGTCATGGCAACCTCTTGGGCAAGTTCCAAGACTGGTTGGTGTTCAGCAAAAAATGAGGGAATGACCTTTATGAACCATCCAACTGGTGGTTTCCTTATTATGCGGGAATCCCCAAAGCCGGTTGATTCCATTTCTCATTCCCTGCCCATCGCAAGAAACGGACAGCGATCGCCCTGCCTGCGTGCCAGCTGGGTTGATAACCACTACCCCACCCAAAGCGTGCACAATGGCCTGGTGCCCGAAGCACACGCCCACCAGCGGCCGCCTTTCTCTCACCAGGCCCTGGAGAAAGCTGCAGAGTTGTGGAAGCCAAGGCTCCTGCTTGGCACCTCCACTTGGTGAAGAACACGCATGAACCTAAAAGCTGAGTCAGACTGAAACTTTCGAGATCTCGCCAGAATTTGGCCATTCCCCGCCTGCCGCAGCAGAGGACATACTACCCATGAGGATGAAGCCATCGTAGTCGCCCCTAGGAAAATCCAAGGCCTGCACGTTGCATGTGTCGAGCTCAAAGCCTCAGGTACACGTTCCAGGTTGGCTCTGATGATACTGTGGATGGTTGCGAAATCCATTTTGCACCACTTTGCAACCACGGGAAACCATGGTTTGTTGGCATTTACAGGGGGATCATCATTCCAAGGTTTCTGAGGCGGTGCGGGATTTCGTCCACACACAGTACCAAGCATCAATGCGCCTTGGCCGTGTCACAAAGTATCGCTTCGAGCTGGCCAAAGCAAAGCCAGGCAACCTGTTGAAGTACTTGACCAGTAAAACGGCCCGGCATATTTGTGATCTAACAAGTGTCCTATTATTACTTATATTGCTGTAACTAAGCATAGTAAAGTGTCTCAACATGCTGCTTGGCTGCGTGGCTGCTTGGCTTGGCGCCCTAAGTTTTGCTAAGTTGAGGCAAGGGACTTTCCGCATTCGCGTCTGCAAACATCTCCAGCAGCATCTGCGGCACTTTGGAGCCGTAGGTCGCGTCGTAGGCTACATTCAAGTAGCAAACTCTGCGCTGCCGGATGGGGGGCAGCACCTGCTCCATCTGCGCCAAAAGCTCAGCTTGTAGCTCCTTCAATTGTCAATGACATGTAAGGCCCCAAAACAAGGTGCTCTGGCAAAGAAAAGCATTTTTAGGCTTGGTAGGCTTGTCAATTTTTCGCCGCCCAGCTAGTTCAAATCTATTGGATGGCCTGACTGCTCATGATCCTTGCAAAGCCTTTCATGTTGTGCAGCGCTGAAGCATGCTCTGCTGCAGACTTTGCCGCACAGGCATCCTCTGGTACTGTCACCAGAAAGCCCAAATCCGCCGCATCTCGCACTGCGGATTCCACGCATTGGTTGGTCAACTGGCCGCATACCAGCAAGTAGCGAGTTCCCAAATTTCGCAAGACGTAGTTGATATTGGTGGAGCAAAACACCGAGCAGGAGGTCTTGGGTAAAATGATCTCGTCTGCTCCGGGCTGCAGCTCTGGGAGGACAGCTGCGTGTGGATGGCCCTTGGGCACCAGCAGGGGCCCACTGAGCTTGTAATCCAAGGACTGGTCGCGGCCATCAAAGGTGAGCGCCTCAATCACGGTGTAGATCACTTCAACGCCAGACTTCCGAGCTGCGGCCAATAACAAAGCGATGTTGGGCACCATTGTGCCGACTCTGCTGAAGAAATAGGAATCCTCTGGATCTGTGCCAGCGTGTATTCCTATGCCTGGCCGGCTGCAATACTCCTGCACGTCCACAACTAGTAGCGCTGCCTCTGCTACTCTGCAGGCTACGTTTCGGCTGCTCCCTGGGGCAACCTTCTTAGGGTGCCCATAGGGGTATGCCATTGTCAAAGGCCCGGAAGCTGCGGTGCTTCAAAACTTTGGGAAAATGGTTGCATGTGTGTTGCCAATGGTCTAGTCAATTCATCCTTTGTTCCGTCTGCAACATCTTTTGGGTCATGCGCCAGTCTGGCAGTGTAAAAATGAGTGGGCGGTCTGTGTCCGGATGGGACCAGCAAGGAGTTGACAATGTGCCAAGCTGAAACATCCTAATTGGACATCAGCAGTCTGCAGCCAAAACAGCGCATTGGCTTTATTGCGGCCTTGCACCCGCTAAGCGCATTCCCAGCGCATCAACTGGGATATGTGCCCGACTTGGACTTCGCAACTGGCTTCCCTGAAAACAGAAAACAACAATGCATGCAAACCACAGGCCCTCAGAATATCCTTCTGTCTTGAAACATTCTGAGACCTTGCATGGTGCGATGTTGGAAGGGCCAATTAGAACCTGTTCTAGTGGGGATTGGGATGTTCACTGGGGGTACGGGATTTTGACCCATGGCCAAATCTGGTGCCTCCCATGCTCCCAAATCTCCACCCCTCAGCTTGGAACGCCCCGGTTGCGGAAGCTGCGCTCCATCTGCGCCACCCGGGCCTACGGAGCAAAGCCCTACCCACTTAGCAACCCTTGCCTGCTACGGCAACATTTGGCTGTAGGTCAAACATGGGGTAACCCCAAAATGCGTTGCCCTGGTACTTAAATGGAACCAAGGACTAAAACCTGCGGTCCATATCCCGGTGGTTAAACTTTGACCCATACCCATTTGTATGCCTGGGCTGTTCTCACATCCCCTGCGAAAAGTTGAGCTTTTAGCGGGTCAAATGGCAAACCCCCGCTTTGCCCGTTCACCGCGCACAAGGCTTCAACTGTTGGCCCTGCCAGGACAAAAGCTAGCCAAAGAGCCACAAACGCTATGATACGCTATGTTAAGGTGCAGCCCAAATCGTATCTTCTTAGATCTGGTTCAAAGGTTCAAAGGTGTCGGCATTCAGCTTCAAAGGGATCACAGGGCTCCTTCAAGGGGCCGAGGCGAAATCTGGCGCTGTGTTTTTGAGGGCATCTGGACCCTCAAACTGGCCTTGAAAATTGGCAATGCCCCTTGTGTTCAAGTAAGGTTGAGGGTCCAGGTGCCTGTCTTTTGGTGGATTTGAAGGGAAAAAGCATCCTAAAAAAGACACCCCGTCTGCTGTTGCGAAGTTTCTGGTGACCAATTCTTCGCCGGCCTCTAGAATCATGTCTTGCTCCGAGATGTTCGCAGGCTGCCGTGCGGCCGCGGTCATGCCCTGGCAAAGGCGCGGCGTCTGGTCTCCAATTCCCCCTTCCTGGAAAACCCGCCCCCCACCCAACTGCAGAACATGGCCATAAGTCAAAAGCCCGTACCCCCAGTCAACATCCCAATCCCCACCAGAAGAGACTAAAATGGGTGGTGCGCCCACCCCAGAATGGTACCATTGGCTTTGACCCACCGCCACATGAGCTGCATGGAGTCACTCCAAGGCCTCCAGCTGAGCCTGCCGCAGCAGCCCCACAAACTCGTTGAGATCCAGGCGCCCATTTCCTGTCATGCAACAAGGCGGCCTCTGCAGCTGCAAGCCTGATTTCAGTCTCCAGCCGTCTGCATCTGCGAGGCGCCACAGGGCACCCACATCCTCACGGCTCATGGAGCCGTCCTGGCAAATGAAGAACGCTGACAGAAACAATTCCGCTTCCCATCTCCTGGGCCAGCACCATGCGCTCAAACTCGGCATAGGACAGCAAGCCAGACCCGGTGAGGTTAAACCTGAACCCATGTTGCTCGAAAGGAGCAACCATCATTGCCTCATTGCTTTGACATGCCGCCGATGCCGGCAGTTTTACAATGCCGTTCATATCGCGGTCTGAATCACCCATCCGTGCCTCTGGAAAAAGTTCACTGGACTGCTAAGCGCGGGAGCAAGCCTTCGAGCCTTGGTGCTTAACATGGCGATGCGGGCTAGTGGCAATAGCTTTACTTTCAGCAGTTGAGACCTGATGGGCTTGAGTCGGATGTCTGCAGTCGTTGCCTACGGCTGCGCATCGAACCACCCAACCACCCCCCATCACACCCACCCGCACACAGGCACGGAATGACTGGGCCAGCCACAATTCGTCGCAGGCACGCTTCTGCCCATGGATCGGTGTTGGACCTGTCGGCTTCTACTTGACTGGGCTGTCGGGGTGCGTGAGTACACAGAGTGCTCTGTGAAGCTGGCTGAAGTGAACAGGCTAAACCTCTGGGATGTGACCCAAGGTCTTTTGGCCCGTGACAACACGAGGAGGCAGTCCCGAAATGTGGGTTGATCAAAAGGTCCGATATGCATGGGGTAACCATAAAGGACACCGCCAAAAATCATGACTTCGACATGGGAACAAGTTTCCCATGGTCAGTTTGAGGCCAAGGGAATATTGATCAACCTTTTAACCCCCAAATCTGGGTCCCTCGTGGGCTCGTAACCGGAATCAAGGGACACCCGCAGAACCCTCTGGGTGGCGGACACCTGGTGCTGGCACTGCAGCAGCTGCTGGAGGCTCAGCTCTGGCGCGTTGCCTGCCAACCTGGCGCATGCCCCATGGCCAGCACCTACACAAAGAAACGCTCAGCAACATATGGGCATGGGTCAAAATTAAGCCACCAGGATATGGACCGCAGGTTGAATCGTCCATGTGTCCATCTACCAGGGCAACCCATTTTGGTGGATACCCCATTTTTCCCAACCACAGCAACATCAACCTGCTTCCCTCCATTTGGCTTGGAGCCCGGTGGTTTGGCTGAGGGTTTGCCACCCTCTACAAACTCCCAGGCTTCAAATCTCCGAACCAATCCAAACCACCTAAGGGTTACCTGAACATAAGTCCTTCTGGAAAACATAGGCACTGGTAGATGAATAGATCCAACCTGAACGGCCATACCTGTCTTCTCAAGGAAACCTGAAAAGGACGCCTATCAGCAAAAAGAATCAGAATTTGAAACATCCACAACCTTGCTGCCCTTAAAACCAATGCTCCCTCGACAAGTGACATCAGTTTGGGCTCCAAGGCGCAAACCTAGCCCAAGAGTTTGGCCGTCCAAAACATTGCTACCCAAAATGGGATGCCCTGGATGGAAAGGACTAAAACCTGCAGTCCATATCCTGGTGGTGTAATTTTGTCTGCTCTTTCAAAAGAGTTCCTCTGCTTTCGGAAAGGGTGTGTCTTTCCTTAGGGGACCCCCGAACAAATAAAAAACATAATAATAACTGAATGGGTGTGTCTTCCTCTTGGTTTCCTTGCCAGCCACAAACGTCATGGGGTCCCCCCCCAAAAAAACAAGGCCACGCCCGGACAGCCACGGGCGCCTCCAGAGTCGATCCAGGTCTGGCGAGCCCAGCCGTGGCTCCAAGGCCAAAGCCTCAGACTCTGCGCCCCCAAGGGCCTCATATTGTGGTGGTCAAGCCGTTTTGGGATCCCATTTCGGTTGGGTAGGTGAATTCACCACCACCCATTTTAGAACCTTTTTTTAGTGGGGATTTGGATGTTCACCGGGGTAAGGGATTTTGACCCATGGCCATATTCTAAGCCACAAAGCTTCACGAATCGCCATCTTTCGTACCAAAGCAAACCTCAAGTAGAGATCACCCGACCACCCTGACCGACTGCAAGCAATAACAAGGTGGATGAATATATTGCCACGTCAAGAAGCAGCCACAACAACAAGAAACAACAAACAAACAACAAACAATCAACACACAACAACAATCACAACAAAATAAACAAACATCTGCACACAACGGACAAGCAAACACAACAGAGAAACGTCGCTGGCAGTCCGTTCGACACTTCTGAACATGCAGCATTCGGGGTCTCGTGGAAGGCTGCAGCTTTTAAACGGAGGTAAATGCCGTGTGTTGCATGTGTCTTGTCATTTCCAGCCTTTGCTGGAAGTAACTTCACAAGTACGAGTAAGCATCACAAATCTGAGCCACGCTCTATTGGCGCCTTCAGAATTACCCTGTGCTCGAATGTGCTCCAATGAGGTTTAGGCGTCTGCCCGAAGACCACTCACGGCCTTGACTGACAATGCTCAAAACTGACTGTACCATTCGGCTGTAGCCGCAGGTACTACGCTTGTGTAGTGCCTGCAGGAGTAACATAAAGTTTGCAGGCCAGCGACACAAACACGTTGCTTCATTGCACTGCACCTGCGCTGACGTGCGTGGAGCAGGTCCGTGCACACTTAAAACCATCTGGGCTGTCTCTGCATTCTCCGGCCCTGGTGCATGTCGACCTGCCTCACTCGTCTTGATTTGTGGGGGTGGTGCCGGGTCTAACTATGCACCTTGGCTGGCCTAGGCATGTCATGCTTTGAGAGTCCCGCGTAGCTGAAGGTTCTGTGCTCGTCCCGTCAGCTCATCTCGTACCGTTTTTCAGGTGAGCTAAGCTGACTGGAACAGTGTATTGCTTTCAGCTGCCCGATCCAGTGCTGGGTTCGCAACATGCAGCAGCTGGTGCGATAGGGCAGGGAATGAGAAATGGAATGACCCGTATAAACCGTCCCATGGTTTCCTTTACGCGAATCTCCAGGTTCATTCCCTTCTGTGCACAAGCCAGTCAATGCGGTTATTGAAATAATCTCCGCCCATAGGGTCTTGGGCCTTGGAAAACTAAGCTGGGCTGATTCCTTGCAGCCCCGCTCCTTGGCCTGACAAGGCAAATTCAACAGCAGGAAAGCCACATTGATGAATCCTCTCGATCACTAATGCGAGTTTCAAAATCGTACTCTTTGCATACTGTATGCTCTTTCAAACTGTCCTACAAACATGTGCGATCAAACTAGCCAATTGTGCTCAGTGTTCACTGCAGCGCAACTGCGAGGATATTTCGTCTATTGCTTTCCAGCCCTTTGACTACCCCCAAATTGCACACAAAGGACGAACAGCGTAGCTGTGGCGCAACAAACCACAGATTGGTTTAAATGCGTATCCTGCCGTGGACATTTGCGCAGCTTAACATCGCGCCTTCGGAAGGAACTGCAGGGATAACCGCCCGGCAGTTGCATAATGCCGGTCCTGAGAAGCATGCAAGCAAGGTTGGGCAAACCAAGGGTTTTGCAGCAACAAACGCTACACAAAGCTTCGATGCGCTTACCACCCTTCTCCCCCCCACTCAAGGCGGAAGGGTTTTATATTTTCCTAGGTTCGGCGAGTTTTTGTGTCCCTAGGCTTGGCCGGTAGTTCCTAACGCAATGCACCAGTGTTACACCAGCACAGCCAGCAGGCTGGTTCAGTGCAAGTTTAGGGTTGGCTTAAAGTGGGTTTGGGGTTGGTGAAGGGTTTGCTGAGGGTCTGTTTTCAGGTTGGCTTGGTCTGGTTTAGGGATGGTTTAGCGCTGGTTCAGGGTGGGTTTGGCGTTGGTTTAGGCTGGGTTTAGGGTTCGTAAGGGATGGTTTGGTTTAGTGCTGCTCTTGGGCTTGCTACGCTTGCTCAGGGTTTGTGTTGCGTGGTTTAGGGATGGTTTTAGGATGGGCTTTGAATTGGTTTCGGGTTGGTTTAGGATTTGGTTAGGGTTGCGCCTCCCGGCAACACAACGTGTTGCATGCATTGCTTTCATTGGAGGAGCAATTTTGTCACTTGTTTTGTGCTTTTCTTTGGGCTGACTTTTTGGTTTTTTGTTGCTTTCCGAATGACGGTCACTCTTGGACGTGGGTTGGGAATTGCGCAACTCCTATGCGAATAGTGAATCGTGGCTTCGGTGGGATCACAAGGAAAGTCCGCAAATGTCCAACTTCGCGTACTCGAATCTGAGCGCGTGTTCGAATCTCAGATTTGAATATGCGGTGCTGGCAGGCGCAGCATTCTCATTTGCTCGAAGCCTCGGACTGTGCTTTGGCTCTCTTAGTGGGAGACCTCCAGAACCAAGAGCCGGGCCTTGTATATGTGAAGCGCACAAGATGAGCTGCGCTGATCATTTGCTGACAGAGCACTGAGAGAGCAGCGGGGCCAATACCAGCATTCGGGAAGGTAGCTCTTCAAACGCAAGAAGACCCCAAGCCCTCTTGGCCACCAGGTGTCTAAAACCACCTGCGGCAAAGTGGCAGCGTGTCAGATAAGCAATGGGGCTGCGCAGATAGCGGAGAAGTCACATGGCGTGTGGGGCGGGGGAATCGGGATCGACTAGTTTGAAACACAGGTTGGCCTCATGCTACATGGACTTGTTTTTTCCACCCCCCCCCCCCCGTTTCCCTCCCCCTCCCTCGACAGCCGCGAACACGCTGAGGATCGGCGAGAAAACAACTCGGGGCCCCACCTCCCAACAAATGTCACCGTCACGACAGGTTGCAACAAAAGTCCTTCGTCCGCAACACCTCCCACTGCTCCCGCATGTTCTGTTCTGCCCCTGCCAGATCTGGACGTGTCTTTTCCCATGAGTCAGGCCCAAGCACCCCGCTCCTTTGTTGCGGGAGTGTTTTGTGTCCTGATAGATGCCGCCAGGAATCACTTTCACGCCGCACTCCTGAACTCATTAGACAGTTGTGCCACGACCCGCAGCTCCAGCTCCTGAGGGTCACTGCACCGTGGAATGAAGGCCTCGCAAAGAGCCTGTGCAACCCTCCGAGGCTCACGTCTGCAAGGTGTCTATTTGAGAGGCCAGTTTCAACTTAGGCCCAGGTATTTGTCAAAGGAAGGGTTATGAGTGGGGACCAAGGTCAAGGTTCGCTAAATTGAGCCCGCCATTGGATGCCTTGCATGAAATTAAAGTGATGCGCAACCAATTTCTTGGAGGCGGCTAATGGACATACTTGCTTTGCGAGAGGGAGCAAGGCTAACAAGCTCAGGCTCAGCCACTTGCACAGTCCCGCACTAAATTTCCTGGAAGGGTGAATGCTCGCGGAAGATAGGTGAAACTTACAAGACCTTTGTAGCTTGACGAACAAGCAGAACCTTTGACAACGCATGGAGTTGGAGCCGCGCCTACAAATCATTGCCTCAGGACGTCCGGGATTCGGGATGCGGGGTTGAATGGTGAAGCAACTTATATGCCGAAACATGCTCGGGATTGGGAACAAACTGTTGAAATGGAACACGCTTTGCTCAACATCTGTTTTGTTGGGGCATCTCTTGGTCCGCCCCTGCAACTGCGACTAGGCTACTTTGAAGGAATGGGCGGTGGATGCGTCAGGGTTTCCCGCAAACATTGCAAAGCTCGGAAATGATAACTTGCATGGAGACTCACTATGGGTGAAGGCAAAATGTTGGAATTCATCTCGTTGCCATTCCAGGTGAGTGGTGGTGTTCATTCCCTTTAAATTTGAACTGACGTATCAATCAAACCCGTTCGCGAAACCTTCCGCCGTGTCCTTTCGCGAGCATGTTTCCATATAAGTGCTTCCGAGGGCATATTGATTCTGGAATCTAAGGAAGGTAGCCGTCGCGAGGGGGTTCGTGCACGCGGTTTGCTAGCAAACGTGCTTGGCAAAAACCACCCAAACAACATCAAACCACTGTGCCACTGACTATGCGCCAACTATGCTCTGCTAGCACCTTCTGCTTCGACGGAGACGCGAGCTGCAAGGTGGACGCTACGACTGGGAACGCAACCACAGCAAACGCAACGCCCCTTCCTCGAGCTTCCGCAGCAAGAACACCTTTCGCAAACCTTCCGCGGCTGTTGATATGAACACATCCATGCATGTTTGCTTGAGCTTCGTTGACTTCCATGTCCTCAACTCCTGGAGGTGCAGCTTACGAATGGTGAGGGCAAGGTTCCGCCGCATTTCCGGGTCATTGGTTGCTCGTCTGGTTTGCCGAAGTTGCGCCACACGCCGCGAAGGTGCGGATTCGGCGAAATGTGGCGCGGGATACTGTTGAACAAATTGTTGCAGTGCAAAATGGTATTGGGCTAGTTCATTTACATCATCCAGTAAGGGTTACAATTGTTTAGGGATGCGCGTCTCGGAACAAACGGCGCGCAGGTTACGCAAGCCCCTGAACAACAAATGGGCGCAAGTTGGCAGCCTCCCCCCACCCCGGCCCTCCTCCCCCCCCCCCTGTGTTCTGTTTTTCAGACCATTGATCTCCCGCAACATCTGGCTCAAGGCCCCTTTTTGCATAATCACGACCATCCGAGCGTGAGGACAAAAGAGCCATTGCAGGCCGCTTACAGGATTATCCATCAGACAATCCACTGGCATATTGGACTCTCTCCGGAATAGATCCAGGGACCAACAACGACCTCAACTACCACAGGGTTCCAGTTCCCTCCGGGGATAGGCACCTAAAACAGTGGGCCTCAATTTGTGGTAGCGGAGCGGGTTTTCCGCAGAGATCCAAGGGAAGATGTCATCAGATGGAGAAGGAATCATGGAAGCCTACACAAGTTCGGCAAAGCCGAGCTACACGGAGGAAACACTTA